TAGAAACAAACCGACTAAAGCCTGTTTAGTACCAAAACCTTTTGTTTTCCTTATGAATAATATTTGTTGTTTGGGTTTCAATACAGAGAATGTTGGGCTTTCACTTTCTTACGGACTATCGCTGAACGGTGTTCTGTTTTGGGCAATATATCTAAGCTGTTTCATTGAGAACAAGATGGTCTCTGTTGAAAGAATCAAACAGTTCACTGATATTCCTTCGGAAGCGAAATGGGAGATCAAAGAGAGCCGTCCACCTCCAACTTGGCCATACAAAGGTAACATACGTCTCGAAGATGTCAAGGTGAGGTATAGACCAAACACGCCACTTGTGCTCAAGGGACTTACAATGGACATCAAAGGAGGAGAGAAGATTGGTGTGGTTGGAAGAACAGGAAGCGGCAAATCAACTTTGATTCAGGTCTTGTTTAGACTAGTGGAACCATCTGGTGGCAAGATAATCATCGACGGAATCGATATCTGCACTTTAGGACTTCATGATCTAAGGTCAAGATTCGGTATCATTCCTCAAGAACCTGTTCTCTTTGAAGGAACCGTAAGGAGTAACATTGACCCAACAGAGAAATACTCTGATGAAGAAATCTGGAAGGTTAGCTGTTTAAAGAGTTTTTTCCTATTCTTGATCCGACGTTTTATAAAAATTTGCTCTGTTTTTTCTGTTTACAGAGTCTAGAGCGGTGCCAACTGAAGGACGTAGTTTCTTCCAAGCTCGAGAAGCTCGATGCTCTTGGTGAGTTATAAAGTAATTTGTTACGAAAAAGTTGACATGTTTTGCGTGAGATGATGTTAACAATGGAGAATTCATATACTGTGACAGTGGCGGATAATGGGGAGAACTGGAGTGTTGGGCAAAGACAGCTACTCTGTTTGGGAAGAGTAATGCTGAAACGAAGCCGGATTCTGTTTTTGGATGAAGCAACTGCGTCCGTTGATTCGCAGACTGATGCTATGATCCAAAAGATCATAAGGGAGGATTTCGCAGCTTGTACTATTATCAGCATTGCTCATAGGATTCCTACTGTTATGGACTGCGATCGCGTTCTTGTCATAGACGCAGGTAAGAAAACAGATCACCCACAATTTTTTGGTGGATTAAAATAATGGAGTTGGATTCTTGACTAACTGTTGCGATTCCTTTCTTCTAAAAATTGTAGGAAAAGCGAAAGAGTACGATAGCCCAGTTCGTTTGCTGGAGAGACAGTCTTTGTTTGCTGCCTTGGTTCAGGAGTATGCTCTCCGGTCAGCCGGAATATGAGACCACACCTTCTTTTTATTTTGGCTATTTAGTTTCTTTTTGGTCAACTTAGTTGACCCAGCTCAATATAGTAATTATGAATATACTCATATTAGAAACTTGTAACCATTATTGTCTTTTATGGAAATAATCAATAATCACAAGTTTGTTTTGGCAATGCTCTCTATCTTTTATGGGAGATACTGTAACTCTTCTTTCCTAAACCATTAGGAGACTATATTGATATAGGGTGATCATAAGGTAACTCGAGTAGAAAAGTTTATGAGAAAAATACATAGAAGAGAAAGAGAGCTTGGTGACTCTTTTTTTTTTTTTTTTATTGTGGTCGGCAGAGATTCCGTAGGGAATATTCCGACGAAATGACATGATGTTAACAAGATTCATTTGCCTTCACTTTTTTTTTTCTTTGTGCACATTATCTAGTTTTGGATTATATCAAATATCTAAAAATTTACCTTTTGGGTTTTCTCTATCAATACATTTCATTAATCCCCCATCCCACGTACAAAAGTTACTCTTTCTTTTCTCTTTCCCCACGGCTTGTTCGTTAGTTAGGTTCACTGATTATAAACTTTGGATCATTGCGTCTCCATAACAGTGTGCTTTTTAAGCTAGCCTTCAATTTCCAACTGTAAAACTTTATCCGGATAAAAATAAAACAATTTACCAAAACCGTAAAGTAATTAAGTATTTGTTGGCTTGTTCTGCATGGCATCATCGCCTTTGCCTTTCTGTTTGCTTAAAGCGGGTAAGCGTTTATTATTGATTCGTTTTTATTAATTTTGGCCCAAAATAAAATAAAAGAAGAAGAATGTCCCCATATATTTGCCTATAATAATTAAAAAAAATAAATAAACAAATAAATAAAGTAAAATAAAGCTAAAGTTGAAAATTTTTCTTTAAGTAAAGCACTATGAAAAAGGGGAGATGAATGAGCTGGCCACGAACTTGTCTCGCGAAGTGTAAACTTCACTGGCTGTTTACATCATTTATTTACGACTTTCACACGGGTTCGGTTGATTGTAAAAATATCACAACTCCTTTAAAAAGTTTGTACGTTTTAGCCATTAGAGTGTATATACATAAGGTTTTTAGAAGACAAATTAATCAGCCTAACACGCTTAACACTATTCCAACACCCCTATTATGTTGTGGCCTGTGAGCCTTGCAGTAACTTTTGTAATCATTGTGAAACACTACTACTAATTACATCTTAATTTTTATTTTTGTTTTGTTAATAACTTATGAACCCACTCTTACTTTTCTTAAATTATCCATTTTTCTGTCTAACTCTTTTTTCAAATGTTTCTTTTCATTTTTTCTATTTTCTTGACTATTAAGAAACCTGTCAACTTTAATTCAGTTTTGGTGGATAATCCTGTCAATGGTATTTCTTTTTTTAAAATAAAAAGCTGATAATCTATATTGCATATATTGATATTCGAATTGAAATTTTAGCTACTTTATCATAAACTGAAAATATATTAATACAGTTTGTGTAGGAAAATAATATAAAGGTTGTATACTATGCTGAAAAAATGAAAAGTAAAAGAAGAGTAACTTTCATCCTTTTATACTTTCATCAGACGTACACAAAAAAAAGTATGTGATATTTTATTTTCATGTTATCTCCCGCACGCGCACGGCACATGGGAGCTATATAGTCTCTTGTTGAGGGTTTTCTCACAAGTTGTAGAATGTTTTGACCAATGGCCGACCTTATCCTTTTTTTTTTTTTTTTCAGACTACTTGTTTACTTTTGAGTTTTGACTGACCAACCAATTGAAAAATAAAAATACTCAACGTGGAAACAAGTCTAATTATTACACCCTTAATTTCTCCCCTTAAACCAAAACAAGTTATTTGCAATACATACGTCGTGTCTCGTGTAGTACGATAGTCAAAATGTTTATGGGGTCAGTTAGATCGAGTTTTGGTTTGATCGTTGATTGATCTGCAAGGAACGACGCCAACAAAATCAAATGACAACTGGAGTTATGTGCTCTTTCTTTTCTTCTAGTATATGGAATCTTGCCGCAACTACAGTCACAGAAAAAAGAACACACACCCATGTAGTAACAATATTTTATGTTACATATTTAGAAGCATGCGAAGGTTTGTGACTTTGTTGCAATCCAAGTGATCCCACAACGAACGTATACGTACGTGAAATTCTAGACTCTGTACGTATAAGAGTATTTGGTATACATACATGCTTTATTAATTTGACTACAAATAAAGGACCACCGGTGAAGCTAGCAAGAGATTGAATTGGAATATTCCGTACGAGTGTAGTGGTCTTGAGGAAATGATCGTCGAGCCATTTTGAACCGTTAATGGCCTTTATCTACTATTAAGTTCTTAGAAAGATCTTTAGATATTTAATACAATTGTCCAGAAAGAACTATTACGTTATAACAAAATAAACAAAAATTGTAAAAAGAGTTGAAAACCAAGGAAAGTGGAAATACGACTGAGAGGAAAAAGAAAGAGAAAGAAGAATTGCAATGTTATTTAAAGGAGAAACAAGACACACGAAAGGAAAAAAAAAAAAAAAAAAAGGTTAATGCATCACAAGGTCGTTGGCAAGGAAGGGCCACTTTTTATAAATAAATTAAGAAAATCCTCATCACGACAAAAGTTTTAGTAGGTTTCTGATGTGTAAAACGGTCTTAAAGTCATGTTTTGAAAGAGACTCAAAGTTATACTGTAGTTGACGGAAAATTATACATAAACAAAAAAATTATTAGAGAGAAACAAAAGAAGAAGAAATATATAAAGCATATTTTTTTTTTTAATTAATACAATAAAAGAAAGACAGAAATAAAAGAGCCGTCGGATTGGGACAGTCTCTCTCTCAGTCTTAGCATTGAAGCAAAAGAAACTTTAGAAAACGCTCGAGCGAGTTAATTAATAAGCTACAGTCTCCCCCCATGACCCATGGAAATCCAAAAGCTATTATTATTCCCTTACTAGATTTTTATGGTTTTTTTTAGTTATGCAATGCATACTTAATATATTTCGCCTTTTTTTCTTTCGTTTCATTTTCCTCGCTTATATTATTATTGCGCTTAATTATTATGGTATTGCTCAATGTGTTATATAATGCATTTCCTTAAATTTTGGTAAATTTTCTCTGATTTTATAATGTTTATGGATTTTTTTTTTGGTAATTCCTATAAAAAAAAAACAGTTTGGAGAAATGCAGGATAGTATAATTTATCAGTGTGTTTAACCATATATAGTCATTTATTTGTGAGTTTTCAAACATTCCTTTTGGTAAATCGCATATTATAGTTTAAGTTTACGACAAAATATTTATAATTAAATTCTCAAAAAAAAAAAAAAAAAAAGAGAGATTTGGTGAGGAAGATGTTAAAAAACGTAAAAAAGCAAACTACGGTCAAAGAGTTGCTCAAAGTATGTCTCCACGATATTTTATGAAGGACTCACATCTAACAACAACACCAAGTGGGTTCAAAGCTCTCTCATGTAGCTATTACACGAATATATATATATATATATGTTCTATATGATGAAAAGAACACAACACAACAAAACAAAAGTCGCAAAAGTATTTATCACCTTTTAAAATCTATTTATCTTTATTCATATTAGCAAATACATATAATCTCGTTAAACGTTAACTTAGTTGAGTCGGAAATCAAGAAGAAATCCCAAAACCAAAAAAACAAACATATACATTAATAATAGAAAAGGAGATTTTATTTTTAAAATAAAATAAAAAAGCAAAGAAGACCCAATAATTCTTTTAGTATAGGTTTTGGTTGTTGTCTATAAATAAAGAAGATTCAAACACACAGAAACATCATCAAAGCACATTGGAAACTTCTCAACACTCTCTCTCTCTCTCGTCTTCTTCGTTTCACCCACTCACTTCATTCATTCATTCTCTCTCTCTCTCTCTCTCTCTCTCTCTCTCTCTCTTTACTTCTCCCTCTTTTATCTCTTCTCTAAAACAATGGGAAACGTGTTTGACAGTAGCAAGACGATATGGGGAAGCATGAACCACGGATCGTCACGTTACGCTCTTAACGGCAAAATCATGCTTGCTTCCGTAATCATCCTCTTCGTCGCCGTCATTTTAATCCTCTGTTTCCACAGCTACGCCAGATGGTTATTCCGCCGTCAAAACCGCCGTATTCGCCGCCGCATCAGTGCTCACCTCCGATCACTCTCCGCCGCTCGAGACCCCACCCAATCCTCCTCATCCCTCTCTCCTCTCGATCCCACGGTGCTCGAGAAGATCCCTATCTTCGTCTACTCCGTCAAAACCCACGAATCTCCACTTGAAGAGTGCTCTGTTTGCTTGTCGGAGTTCGAAGAGGACGACGAAGGACGTGTCCTTCCCAAATGCGGCCACGTCTTCCATGTTGACTGTATCGACACGTGGTTCCGGTCCAGATCCAGTTGTCCGCTTTGTAGAGCTCCGGTTCAACCCGCACAGCCGGTTTCCGAATCCGAACCGGTTCCTGCCGTGTTTCCATCCGCTAAGCCAATTGAGGATACCGAAGCCGGAAGTTCGTCCTCATCGGACGAATCCGAATCATCGACGCCGTCCTCATCCTCCGGTTCGCCGGTGAGGTTTCCGATGGAAGCTTGTGAGAGAGCACCACCAATAGATTTAGTCGGTATAATTGTGGAGATTCCCAGAGAAATCTAGGATTCTAATTCGGGTATACCCGGAGAAAACGGGTCGAATAACCGGGCTTCATTGAAAAGGCTATGGAGAGAGTATTTGATCACTTCCTCTCTTCTTACAAAATTGGACAGTGATTGAATCCGACCCGGTGTTCTGGGGGCGGGGGCGGGCAGAATCGTATTACTGGCATGGAAGACGACACGTGGCGTATTGGAGATCCACGTGGCTATCTTCGGGGACGTTTGCTTTACAGGGAGACGGTGTTTGGAAAAGAAAAAAAAATGAACGGCAGTGACGTATAAAGTAACGGAGCCGTTTGATCAATGTATATACGAGATGGTGTCGTTTTAAGTAGAGAGAAGCAAATCGCTAAGCGAATTGCCCTCTCCCCCACAAAAAACTATTCTCTTTGTTTTTTCTTCTCTCCTTCTCTAAAAAAATGGTTGATCAGAGAAATGTAACTAAAATAAGTGATGCAAGTAATCAACAAAGTCATTTGATCGACACTTTATCTTTGCTTCTGTAGTTACAATTTTAAAGCTTATTCGTTATTAATTCCACCTTAAATGTTGTTGTATAGAATTGTGAAGATTAATCCTATCTACTATGTTTTTTTGTTGTTGTCACAATGTTGCTCCAACCGTAAAACTATAGGCCGTGTATAATGGATACACAATGCAAATCATTCGATATTTCCGAGGATTTTACGTGATGCTTTTCGGCTAATATTGGTTTATTAGTTTTACAAGTTACATTACAACTAAAGCAGCTTTGGAAACTAATTGATACTAGTACAATATGCAATTGTGGTATTAGGTGCTACTAGGTAGGATGGAGTTTTGACTACGTAGAGACACGTACACAAACTGACGTGGAGTCAAAAGACTCGGAAGATGGGTGGACCATCCGACCGACTCGCGTGCAGTGTGCATGGGTAAGGAAAGTGGGATCTGATTCATATTCTTAGTTTTTTTCTCAATATACAAACTATAACGACGAGGCACTACACTACCTTTTTAAGTTTTAAAAGCTATTTTTGGTGCACATGTCTCCGATTTTCATATTGATTTGTAGGGACAAAATTACCAATTACTTATACATGTATGTTGATATATAACATGTCGACCAAAAATGTTTGTTAGGTGATATTTGACTATCAATCGTCTTTCTTTATACAACCCATACTCGTGTTATAAAGGAAATAAAAATAAAAGGAAGACATTATAATTCACATTAGTAGAGACGTACGTAAGTCGTCGTTCGGTATGTAAGGAATAGATTTTGATATAATTCGAATTTTTATACACAGTTTCAATTGTAGAGATTAATCGTTATCAGGCGACAAAAGTAGCCGTTGGTATTATTTGGAGAGGACAAAGCCAACATGTTGACACTTAGACTGACCTTAGGATAATCGTGCAGCAAGATCCTGGTGCACGGCGCATTATTTAGTATTTATTTGACAAGGCGCGCAATATAAGAATTTTAGTTCTGTGACGTAATTTACAAGTGCGAGACTTGGTCGGACGATTAAAGTAAAGGTCGCTGATTCATGGCTCTCATGTAATTGAACTATATAACTGCCCAAAAAAGCAAAAAAAAAAGTAAATGGAACTATATATATAATCAGTTAATTAATTATGTCGTACAATTCATCTATGCTTAATGACTAGAGCATTGAACTCATTAACTAAACAACTCGTTGTTTATGCGTTCAACACGTGTTGACGTAGTGGCCACAAATTTTTTTTAAAAGTTCTTTTACCAGATAACTTTTATCAGCCACTGATCCACAAATAATATAATACAACGTATATATTAGTTTTCATATATACTGTGTAGTGTGTATATAAGTAAGTAATCGCATAATCAAACATTAATTGATGTTATTCTTACAATTTTATTGTATAAAATAAAAAGCATAACCAAAAAGATAGATTGCATTGGGAATGCAGCGTATCAAATGGAATCGGAAGATTCGGAACAAACAAACAAACAAATGAACATTTTGAAGGAGGAAAAAAAAATTTGATTTAAGTGACATCTCATATAATGCATGCATGCAAGGAAGATGATCATCATATTCATAATAATATGATCATCACGATCAATATTTGGGAGTGGCGGGAGCAGCCTTAGGACCGGTGTAGTAGAAAGGTCCGACGCTGAAGAGCTTCAAGTTTTTGTCGGAGTAGAAACGGTATCCGTACAACGACAAGGGAACTCCTGTAAGACCCTTGTTGACATTTGTCGGGTTCTTGCAAGTCTCGATCGGAGATGTGTAAAGCTTGACACGGCAGTGAGCTAGATCCTTGATGTCGGTCAAGGAGACGTGGAAGTATCCCTTAGAGTCAGTGGGATTACTGTAGATGACAACCTCGTTCTTGTTTTTCCCGTATGATGATGGGTCGGAGCACACGATCTGTACCTTTGCTCCTACGTAAATTTAATATAGAAATCGAAAGGTATATGATTAATTAGACACACTTTGCTGTTAATATTTAATCAGGGAGGCTTTTAATAAAGTATGTATTCAAACCTAGAATAGGGTAGGTTTTGTAGCCGTTTTTGCATAGGACGATGCCATCAACAGCCTTAAGAATCTCTGGGACGTAGGGCTTGGTGGGTGGAGTGTAGGTTGGCTTTGGTACATATGGAAGAGGAGGAGAAGAATAGCTTGGAGACGTTTTGTAGACGGGAGGCGAGGGTGTAGGCTTGTAAACCGGTGGGGTGTAAACCGGAGGTGGGATAGTTGGTTTAGTGTAAACCGGAGGTGAGAGAGTAGGCTTGTAAACCGGTGGGGTGTAAACCGGTGGAGGGATAGTTGGTTTAGTGTAAACCGGAGGTGAGAGAGTAGGCTTGTAAACCGGTGGGGTGTACACCGGAGGAGGGATAGTTGGCTTAGTGTAAACCGGTGGGGTGTAAACCGGAGGAGGGATAGTTGGCTTAGTGTAGACTGGAGGAGGAAGGGTAGGCTTGTAAACAGGTGGAGTATAAACCGGAGGTGGAAGGGTGGGTTTGTGTTCCGGTGATTTGTAAACCGGAGGAGATGAGGGAGAGTAGTAATCGGCGGTGGCAATGGTAACCAAGGAGAGGATGAGGCAAATGGCAAAGGAGGCGCGTGAGATCGCCATTGTGGGAGCGTTTGGCTTTGTCTTTTGCCTTAAGCTGGTTCCTTGTTTTTTTTGTGTATGAATTGGGGTGAGGAAGACGATTTCATCAAATGGAGTTTTATAGTACTAGTATTTTGAATTTGAAACAAATAATAAAGAAATGTTTTATCTTCGAATGTGACAAATTGGTGATAATCATGTTTGGGATTCTCGTAGTGTAATGCACGATCAAAAAACATGTTGGCCATTCTACAAATTACAACCATATGCGCACGCACACACGCCAACCAAAGGATCGAAGAAATGAAAATGACGTTTAACTGGGCTCGGAAAAATTGATAGGCCCACGAACTTATCTGGTTAAGAGGATCTAAAAGCATGCATACTCGCTCAACGACAAATGGGCCCAATTAAACCAAAAGACCCAAATATCGAAAGCTAGAAACCCTAAATTGATGAAACTAGTATAAATATTTGTCGTCACCTCGATTTTAATCAGAAGCCGCAGCAGCGGCCACAGACTGACTAATGGTCGGAGATTTGTTGGTTTTTTCAGAGCGATCAGTTTCTCTCTTTTTGATATATTGTCTTGTTCAGATAGATCTTAATCTTTGAGACTTCCTCTTTATCTTCCTGGTCTTGTCATATGCTTAGGCAATTAGTTTTGCAGCTCGTAGAGTAGTTTTGACTTTTGTGGTTTTCAATTGTTTCGAATTAAAGAACAAAAAAAGGAGAGATTTGAAAAGGGCCTCTCTTAATCCCAGCTAAGTTGGATAAAGTACTTAATCTGATTCATGTGAGGCCTAAACCAAAGCTGCAAGTTTCGCTGATAATACCTTCTTCTTTTTTACTCCCAGAAGGTGTTTTATTAGTAACTCTGCTTACATTTCTGTTCCCTACTTTTCAATCTGATTTGGTTTTAACTTGCCTTTTAATTTTGTTTTGGTTGTTTGCTGATCGTATTATCCAGTTTATAGGTCTGATTACTTCAGTATACTAGCAATAAGCTTTAGAGAACATTGTGTGTTTGTTGATTAGTAGTTTATGTTGTCTTATCTTGATTAGCAGTTTAGGAATGATCGTATTATTCAGTTTGTGTCTTATATTTCTGATCGTATACATGTTTTTTTTTTTTTTTTTTTTTTTGCTAAAAGTGTAAATATTCATTTAAATGAAAATGTTTAGGTTTACAATCATGGATTTTAAACCTATAGAATTGGTCCCATGGCAAAAAAAAAGATAAAAACATGGAAGCAAATTTCAATTGTCCATCGACTCAACCTATGCAATGAAGCAAACGGTGTCAGATGAAGTGATACATGATTATGAAGATCATTGACGATAGATATTGTAAAGATAACAAAGACGAAGACCCCTACAAATCGTATACATGTTGATTTGTAGCGTCTATGTTGTAGTCATATATTTTGATGCCCATGCGTAACTATATATATGCACTAAACTCAAAAGTTCGAAGTAATTTTAGTTGATAACAAAGCGAAGAAATAAACGCATGGTCTAATTGTTCATTAAGATAAAAACAAACAACGATTAAAACTCAGTCAACCGGAAGTTTACAAGTTTTGACTTTGAACTTGTTGGCCTTCTATTAGTCCACACTTGTCAACCTGGTCATTTCCGTACTTTCTTGTTTCTCAAGAAACCTTTTCATTTGACTTTGTCTCCATAGTTAAGTTTGCGGCTCAGCAACCTAGCAATTAACAGAAAAAAGACTGGGGCTCATCATATCACGTCTCGTTCGGTAACGGTCCATCATCACATGAGTGGGATCGTCACTAAGCCAAGGACACCTAGAAAGTCAGAAACACAGTTGAAGAAGAGAAATCTTTATTATTGTTGACGAAATGGATATTATACAATAAATCTAGACAGTGAGGAACAAAAGATTCAATTGTATATTATATTAGATCCCTTGTTAAGAAGAAACCAACGTCTGCTCTGTACTAATATAGAGAGGTGTTGAAAACAACATTCAATCGTTTGTACTTTGTAGTGACAAGATCCACAAGTCTTAACAAACCTTTCAATAGGCCACAAAGCAGAGAAACAAAGATAAAAAATAATATCTTTCCTCATACTCTCTCATAACAGATTTACATTGGAATTCCAAGAAAAAATGAAGCTTCCATTAACCTGAACAGCACGGTACCAACTCTGTCTGCAAACAGGGGATAAAGAAGTTACCCGAGAAGATCCAACTACAATGGGGTGAACCCTTTCCCATGGTCCTCACGTCTCTGGAACAAGAAGAAGAAGAGAGAGTTTATAGGGAAAACACCACGATGCAAAGGATAGGCAATTCAAGATTCAACAACACAACACTAACTACAAACCCAGAATCCAGTTCTTGCGACCAAAAGAAAGAAGCAAAGAGAGTCAGGATTTATCCCACCACCTTGCTGATCAAATGGCGATCAGAGTGAAATCTAACAAGGGCGATCGGAGTGAAATAGAGCGCGCTCTCCCAGAATCCAATTTATCACCCATCTCGGTTCGTGAGTTTCGAACCTGCAATCTCTAGCAAATAAAATATATACAGATATAATAAGAATAAATATATATAGTCAGTCAGAACACTAGATATAATAGAGAAAGTAAAAGATGACAAGGTTCATGATGATTTGTCCCAACGACGTTCTGGAAACTCTCAAGGTGTTTGTCACCATCAACGTGGATACTTTGAGGATGCTTGTCGCCGAAACCTTGATGATTGGTATCAGTGTCAACGCCATCAAAATCACGGAGATGACAAACATTTTCTTTCTTCTTTCTTCTTTCTTCTTTCTTCTTTCTTCTTTCTTTCTTTGTGTTTTATACTTTCTTCCGTCTTTGGCTTTAATATACATAGATAGATAGATTCATTATATAAGACATTTCTCCCAATGCATTGTGCGTACTATTACTGATTGGCGATTTGTTTTCATCCATTAATTTTATAATTGTAAATATCAATTTTTGGATTAAATATGGGATATATAAAATGAAAACAAAATAAAGTGTAGAACTTTCTATTTATTCTAAAAAATGGAAATTTAGTATCATGGTAACATTTTAACTGAAATTATCATCACTAGGTAAGAATGAACACAAATCGAATCTTACGAATTTTTATGATATCATGTCTTTCGTTTCGTTTCGCTTCCTTCCGTCCAAATTAATATATTTTTCCACTAATCATACATTTTTTTTTTTTAATTATTATTAGTAGTTTGGTCTCTGGGTCTTGAGTTAGAACACGAACAATTGGGCCGTGGTGGATCTTAAAGGGCCTACTCCCTTGATTATGTGCCTCCCAGCTTGGGGCCTCAAGTAGTCCTATAAACGGCTAAACGTAAACTCAAAACCGAGTTGAAGAAGGAATCAACCAAAGTCGTAAAGAAGTCCTAATCCTAGTTGGATTAGAGATAGATGGCGAAACCCCTATATAAAGACAGCACCACGAGCACAAGTTTATACATAATTTTTTCTTACCAAAGCAAATCTAAATCTTGCAGAAAGATAGATTTTGATAAACCGTTTGAGAAAGTAATGGGAAGTTTCTTTCGCGCAGTAAAACCGTTCTTGGGGTTCGTGCCAGAGGTAGAGAGTGGTTTGGAGAAGAAGGTTCCGTTGAGGACGAAGGTCATCTACACTCTGACCACTCTCTTCTTGTTTCTCGTTTGTAGTCGGCTTCCTCTCTACGGCATACACTCCACGACCGGTGCGGATCCGTTCTACTGGATGCGTGCCATTCTTGCATCGAGCCGTGGCACCGTCATGGAGCTAGGTATCGGTCCCATCCTCACATCAGGGCTCGTGATGCAGCTATTGACAGGCTCAAAGATCATTCAGATCCCCGAGGAGGATCGTGCTCTAGCGCAGAAGCTTCTTGGCCTTCTAATCACCGTTGGTCAAGCCATGACATATGTTCTCTCTGGAGTCTACGGTCCTGTTGCGCAGCTCGGTGTCGGAAACGCAGTACTCATCGTCCTCCAGCTTGTCTTCGCCGGCATCATCGTTATCTGCCTCGACGAGCTTCTCCAAAAGGGATACGGTCTTGGCTCCGCGATCTCCCTTTTCATAACGACCAGTTTCTGCGAATCCGTTATCTGGAAAGCGTTTAGCCCCGTCATCATCAGCAATACACACTCTAGACCCGAGTTCGAAGGCGCTCTGATCTCGCTCTTCCATAACCTGATCACCAAGTCCAGCATCCGACAAGCTTTCTTCAGGCAAAGCCTTCCGAACGTTACAAACTTGCTCGCAACGGTTTTGGTCTTCCTCATCGTCGTCTACATCCAAGGTTTCCGCGTTGTCTTGCCAGTTAAGTCAAAGGATTACCGCCGTGGCCAACAGGGATCAGGCTACCCGATCAAGCTATTCTACACCTCCAACATGCCTATCATTCTCCAATCTGCTCTCGTTTCAAATTTCTACTTCATCTCTTTGCTTCTTCACCGCAACTTCAGTGGAAACTTCTTGGTGAATTTACTTGGGCAGTGGAGAGATTCCGTACCAGTCGGTGGTCTCGCATACTTGATCACAGCTCCAACAAGCTTGGCGGATATGGCTGCTCATCCCTTACACGCACTCTTCTACATAGTCTTCATGCTCTCTGCTTGCGCGTTTCTCTCAGCGACGTGGATTCAAGTCTCGGGGTCTTCTGCTAGAGACGTGGCTAAACAGCTCAAGGAGCAGCGCATGGTGATGGCCGGACACAGAGACACCCATCTGCACAAGGAGCTCAACCGTTACATCCCAACAGCAGCCGCCTTTGGAGGAATGTGCATTGGTGCACTCACTGTTCTCGCCGACCTCACCGGAGCCATTGGCTCAGGGACCGGAATATTGCTCGCCGTCACAACCTTATATCAGTTCCTCGATACTCTTGACAAGGAAAAAACTATCTAGTGAGGCCTGCCTGCACAATGTTCTTGTTGAAACATCAATTACTTCCTAGTTAAGATCGATGTAACTTTTTTAGGTTTTTATTTCCAAGTGCACATTCCTTTCATGTCCCTTAGTAATAATAATAATAATGACAAATTTCTTGAGAAACATCAAACATGTCTGTTCTACCCAAATATGTATGTGGATGGATACCACCGAATTTTTACCTTCTTCCTCTGTTCCTCTGTTTTTTTTTATCTTGTTAAATCCTCTGTTTTTATTTATACACAGTACTCTGTTCCTCTGTTCTTATATATACATTAAAAGAGAAGAGATGCAAGCGAGCGACTAGATATAACGTTAACGCATCAATTACACCCAAAAAATATACTATAGCAATTTAAAGTATATGGAAATATGAAAAAATTATCTACACCACTATTTCATTACTCAATCAATTCTATATGATCAGAAGAGCAACATCATTCATAACAACTTGAATCTGCTTGTTGATTTTAGGTTAAAAAGCTTATCGTAGCAGTTACTTAATTCAGGGAAAGATTATCCAGAAATGAAAAATATAACACGATGAAGAAGAACATACTCATATAAATTTTCTCTATGTATATTTTTTGAAGTACGTACGTACGCATATTTTACAATTTTCTTATTGGTCAAAGTAGTAGTCAAACCATCAACGAGTCTGCACAAAAACGAACCAATGGGCCGGGTAAATTTTAATGGACCTAATTCCACAATCACATAGCTACCAAGTAAACGGTTAATATGATAAAAGCGAAACGGTTAATACATAAAACAATACCTCTATTCTTTCTTTAATTTTACTCTCTTTTTTTTGTAGTTGTTTTCAAAGATAAACACGAGAGTTTGTGTTGTTATTGCCCTAAAACACTTCTTTTAATCCAACAAAAAAGTTATATTGGATAATTATTGAAAAGAAAGTCACCTTTTTTTTGGTTCAGCGAAAAAAGGAAGTCTATAAGCTAACAATTAAGAGCAGTATATATACTTTCCAATATTCAACTTCTCGCACGTGACCTACATATATACATAGCTAGTTTTTCGCACGCTCTTAAAACTCTCTCTCTCTCTCTCTCTCATCCTTCTTCAATTCAATAATTTTCTCTTTACTTGCGCTTCAAGCATTCATAGATTAGACTCTGTTATCTTTAATGTCAGTTCCATCAAACATACTCGACGAGATCTCTGGCAACTTGCGAAAAGATGTACTAGTTTGTGATGATGAGATTGAATCTCCTATTGAGGACGATGATGACGAAGAGTTCCCGACGACCACTATTAGGGTTCTTTTGGTCGATGCAGATTCCAATTCTTCACTCCTCATGAAGAATCTCATGGAACAGTACTCCTATCAAGGTATTTTGTTAGATTTAGCAATAGGGTTTCTCTTTATGTTTCCTTGACGAATTAGGGTTAGTTAGGGTATTTTAATTAAAGGGTTTAGGGTTTTACGTTAATTTTTGTTTGGTAATTGTGTTTCAGTAACGAAACATGAGAAGGGAGAAGAGGCTATGGCTTTCTTGATGAAGAGTAAGCAAGAGATTGATCTCGTAGTTTGGGACTTCCATATGCCGGATATCAATGGACTCGATGCTCTCAAAACCATTGGTAAAGAGATGGATTTACCTGTAGTAAGTAAGTATATATGCGTTTATACCAATACTTCTTTTTTTTATCATATATACGTATACCGTTATAAGTAGATATCTAACCTTGCATATGTGAATTATTCGTGTCAAGTCATGTCTCATGACCACAAGAAGGAAACGGTGATGGAATCGGCCAAGAACGGCGCGTGTGACTTTCTTGTGAAGCCGGTGAGCAAAGAGGTCACTGCAGTTCTATGGCAACATGTTTTTCGCAAGAGGATGTCAAAATCTGGTTTAGATAAACCGGATGAATCAGAAACGGTTGAATCAGATCCGGATGAATACGACGATTTAGGGCAAGACAATCTCTATCAGAGCAACGGAGAAGGCTCCGGAAACACTTGTGATCAAAAAGGTGACAAGTCTAAGTTCAAGAAACCGCGGATGTCGTGGACTCCTGACCTTCACCAGAAATTTGAAGCAGCTGTCGAAAAAATGGGCAGCGTTGAGAGTAAACTAATCTTAATTTGCGTCAATAGTAAGTTTCTTGAGTACAAAATATATAAACACTTACCTTTTTATGTATTTGGCAGAGGCTTTTCCGAAGCAGATTCTGAAATGCATGCAAGAAGAAATGAATGTCCAGGGGCTCACTAGAAACAACATAGCCAGTCATCTTCAGGTAATTAATATCTATACCAAAATTGTCTTTGTTTTTTCTCCTTTTAGGTTCCTTTTGTTGTTTCTTTGGTGACAAGAAACCTTTAACTATTAGGGCTAATAATTTACAGCTATTGCGATGGCAGAAGTATCGTCAGGGTGCCAATAAAAAGACTAGCGCTTCGCAGGAGACCCGAGAAGATTCTGGGTGGCGTAACGCCGGTCAAGACCCCCCTCTGGTAGCTTCTAATCCGCCCCTAAACTCGAACGTCAATCTCCAAAGTAAAGGAACATTTTTCATGAACGACCAAGCCGTGCCTAGAACATCATATTTCATGAACGATCAAGTCGCGATGAACCCCACGACCCAGTATTCATCAAACGGTTACCTGCCGATGAACAGCAACAACTACTTCATGTCCAACCATTTCACTTACATTGACCAATTCCAGCAGCAGCCGCCGCCGCAACCACAGTACCTCCCTTCTCTAAATCTGTCCTCCAGGCTAACCAAGCAAGAAGTTGCAGGACACATGCCGCCAGCCATGGAAAATTCAGATCCGCTCATCTATAACTCTTGTTTCCCTTTCGATCAGGACGAGTACTTCCCACTTGTAGGGTTTAACAACAACAATCGTGAGCATTTCCCACCTGCAGGATTCAACAACAATTTCGATCATCAGATTGGTCGAAATTGAATTCTCCAGTCTAATGTGATCGCACCATTCTTCTATATCTAGCCCCTGATTTATTTGACTCGTTCGTAGAGGATCTTTTATTATATCCTACAAACGCGAATAGCAATACCTCGTTGCTATTTGTGGTTGGAGCATGCACTACTTGTTCTTTTTTACTTTGGTCGAACCTACATGTTTTAATAGTTCACTATATATATATATAGATTAATCACTTTGCGTAGAGATATTAGTTGATTTGATGATTGGGCAGTCTCAGTGGCAACATTGACAGTAGTAGTCAATGTCTTCGAATTACGTACTTTTTTGTATTCAGACGCTCAGAGGCTTTCTTTCAAAAGGTTCTTTAATAGTCAACGAAATACTAAAGAGAATCCCATAAATTACCATGTTTTATTTTTCTCTTTTTATTAACTATCTAGACTAATGAATATAGTATATACTACATACGAAACAAAATTTACGACTGAACATTGCGAATTCATTTTATAGTATCCAGGCTTTGCATATTTAAGTTGTTAACTTTGTGATCATAATAATGAAATTTAAAGTACGTATATGCGTTGAGAATGGGCCTTGGGAGATGATATTATTTTTGTGTGTGGATAAGGATAAGTATTCTGGCCCATTGGGTTATGTGTTCTTTAAGATTTAACACAAAATTTAACGACTAGTTAAGCACTATTGTTATGTGAGTTTACCGAGCGTCTGGAAGGCAAAAAAATGAAACGATCGAGAATCCAATTCCTTAAAAACAAACAACTTATTGCTTATACAAGAGAGAAAACAAATATATTGATTTCAGCATGAGCGAGCCTGCAGTGTTTTATGTATTGTCTGTCTACAGTAAAAAGCTTCATTTGTCCAATATGGATTATGGATGATGAAGAGTATAGCATTGTGGGGAGGATAACGATGAGAACGAACTTATTAACACTTTGATATGAAAGAATAGAATTCTCATTAATGAATCATAAGACTGTACAAGAGTATTTATATGTACATGTATATTAAGAGTAGGAATAAGCTAAAGGAAACCTTATCCTATTCTAAGTATACAATATAAACATTATATGTTAATATACCTCCCTCAAACCGAACGATCTTTAGGAGTATAAAGGTTTGAAATCGACATACGACCAAGTAAATTATGAAAAGGACCCGGCTGTAATGGTTTGGTGACTATATCCGCCAGTTGATTGCAAGAAGACACATGGAAGAGCTTCAAGAACCCATTCTTGATCTGATCCCTTGTCGTATGACAGTCAATTTCCACATGCTTTGTTCTTTCATGGAAAACTGGGTTTGTGGCAATGTATACAGCTGACTTGTTGTCACAATAAAGCTTGACTGGTGAATCTTGAGTGATATAAAGATCCTTCAGCATCTGATTGAACCATAACAACTCCTTTGTGGTTTGTGCCATACTTCTATACTCAGCTTCTGTACTACTTGAGCTGACCACATCCTGCTTCTTTGATTTCCATGATATCAAAGAAGAACCAAGAAAGATGCACATACCAGAAACTGACCTTCTTGAGTCTTTACATGTGC